AAAAGGAGTTAATAGGTAATTAACTCTAGTTTTCATTATTAAAACTTTTAAAAATGTTTAAAAACATATGTTTGTGATAGTTGTTGCTAGATTTAAAGCAATGACAGTTTAACAAGCAAAAAGTAGTAAGTTGCTAATAGCTAGCTCTCATGCTGTACACGGAAGTAGTTGGGAGTCCAGTGCACCCATGTGTTGAGATATGGAGATGGCCAGCTTTGCATAATATATTTCCATTGTTGCTGGGTTGGAAGTACTCCAAGCCCTTGTTTTTTTTTTTTTCGCCTAAGCAGTGAACTAATTTCCAGTTAACCTTTATTGCCTCATCTAGCTATGATGTTTGCTTTCAGCAGAATTGCATGCTGTTCCCATAAAATAAAGCTCTTGTGTAATAGTTTTGTAATTGTTTGACAGTTGTTTTCTTAGTCTACTTATAGAAACTTGAAACTAGAGAGATATGTGTTTCATCAGAGTGCTTTTCAACTTTTACTCATATTACTGCCAGCTGTGCAGGGATCTGGTGCATTTTGAATCATATTTTAAACTGGGTTGTTCCTTTTGCTGTGCACTCTATCTTCCAATGTACACACCTAATTGAGTACTTACCATAATGCATAGCATACCTAGTAAATATTGATATATTTTTCCTTTCTTTCTAAATGACAGTGGTCACCAGTATAAATAGTGGATGACAATCAACACTAAACATTTGACACAGGGTTTAACTCTTCCTCACTCTATCCAAAAACTAAAAAAGTTTTGCCTTCAGATACACTAAGTTCACAAACAGAGGAGTAAAGATGGCATAAAAGCCAAGCTGGCCCTGAAGCAGGGACCTAGACACTTATTGAGAATATTGAGAACATATTATCTTCTTTTTTTTTTTTTTTTTTTTTGTGTCTTTTTAAATTGTAGTCAGAGTGCTATGCTATCAAAATGAACTTGGCAAATGGCTAAATACACAGCTGAAATACTTATGTTTACTACTGTAACGGCGACATGAACTGTAATAATGTACAGTCATTGGTACATGATTTACACACCTCTGCTACACTGCATATCCAGGCAGGCGACGCACATATTTCCTGAATCAGCAATGCAGCTTCCTATGCCACCTCTGTCAAAATGCAGTGAAGGCACTTGGTAAGAAGTAAAGCTGAACTAGGGACTTGCCGATTGATTTTCTTGGTTGTGTATTATAGTTGAGGTACAGTATGTAAATCATGAGTGTGGTGAGAAAAAAAAATGTAAAATCATTTGGCAGCTACAAATATAGCTCAAAAAAGACCTGTAAGAGCTTATACAAGGCCATGGACTCCTTCCCTTGCCCCATGTGACAGTGCTGATCCAATGCCCTTACTTTGATGGTTCCCAAATCCCTTTTTCCAGTAAGGTGGAACCTGTTCTGGTCTACTTGTTTGATTCATATTGGACCTATGGTCAAACAAACTAAATAAGAGCCATTAGATGAACACATTTTATCTTAAATGATAAACCTATAGTAAAATACCTGAAAATTACTACCCTGAAGAATAATATTAAGAATATAGATCAGGGTTTCTCAACTAGGGTTCCTCCAGAGGTTGCTAGGAGCTCCTTGAGCAATTTCTGCCTCTCAGATAAGTTACCACTGATCTTTTCACTATCTGTTAGGGAGTAATCTTTCCCTACGATGACAAGTGTAAGGAGCATTCTTTCCACTGACCATCACTCTAATGTATCATGAGTTGTAGATATAGTCACTTATAGCAGTGGTTCTTTGAACCTGGAAAGTTATATCAAATGTTCCTCTGTACTGAAAAGGTTGGGCAGGGCTGATGTAGATGATTTCTTCATCAATGTATAGGGATAATAATCATATTGGGTTTTTGAAGGGTCCACCTCACTGTTTGATGTTCCTGCACTTGCTCCTGGGTTCTGTCTGTGTGCTTCTGGACAACAAAAACTGCTGTATCTCTTGACACCCCTGAGCCTTTCCTGAGAAAGCAGTATATAAGTTAACTGTGAAACGGGTAGTTACTCTCACTCCACTGACTTATCAGCATCTGCTATAAAAGGATTTCTTTTTTTCACCTTTGTGTTCAAGTTTGAACAGATGCATAGCATAAATGTATTTATTATTTGGGATACTGTATGTCAAAAATAGATAAAATGTCAAACAGTTTATAGTGCTTTTAATGAGTTTCAAATAATTCTCATGTTTTATATCATTATAAGTGGCTTGGTACCATAAATGCCTGACATTTTCATTGCGAATGTAGAAATTTGGTTAGGGAGGTAAGGGAATCACATGTTTACACATACCCCGAAGTTCCAGGCATTTTAGTTTTCTCCCAGCAGCTGAATTAAGCTGAATGGAATTGAAGAAAAGATGCATCAGCAAAGGAAGGATGAGTTTAAGAATGAGTTTCGCAGTGCTGGAGGTCAAAAACAGTGATGGCACTTCACAAATTCTTCATAAAGATTTAACCACTCATGTTTTAAACTTATCTGCAAATCAGGGACAGGTTTTAAGTCTGAGATACAATTATCCTTTAATATGGGCCGAAAATAAAAAGTAGTACAGTTAGGTTCTACACTGTGTGCACAATTATTAGGCAAGTTGTATTTTTGAGGATTAGTTTAATTATTGAACAACTACAGCGCTCTTGGTCAATCCAAAATGTTAATAAACCTCAAACCTGAACATTTAAAGAAGTAACAGTGAGGTATTGGCTTTCTTAGGAGAATATCTGTGTGTACAATTATTGGGCAGCTATTGGTGTGCAGAATTATTATGCAGCTAAATTAAAAACAAACATTTTTCCCATATTACTTGTTTTTTTTTATCTGTTAAAGTGAGAATAATAAACAAATCACTCAAAATTTACAAACATTTCTGACATTTAAAAAAAAAAAGATCAGTGACCAATATAGCCACCCTTCTATTCAATAACCGTCATAAGCATTCCATTCATCAAGATCTGTTGACTATCAACATTTTGTGCAGCAGCAACCACAGCCTCCCAGACACAGTTCAGAGAGGTGTACTGTTTTCCTTCATCGTAAATCTCCTGTTTAAGAAGGACCTCAATAGGGTTTAGGACGGGTGAGGAAGTGGGCCATGCTGTTGTTCTTTCATCTTTAAGGCCTTTACTGGCTTGCGATGCAGTGGAGTACTTCGATGTATGCGATGGAGCATTGCCCTGCCTAAATATCATGGTCTTCTTGAAAGATGCAGACTTTTTCCTGTACCACTGAGGAAAGTGTCTTCTAAAAACTGGCAGTAGGCTTGAGAGTTGATTTTTGAGTCCATCTTCAACCCAAAAAGGTCCAACTAGCTCATCTTTAATAATACCAGCCCATACCAGTACCCCACCTCCACCTTGCTGGCGTCTGAGTCGAATTGGAGCTCTGTGCCCATTGATGATCCAGCCACGGGCCCATCATTCTGATCCGTCAAGTCACTCTCATCTAATCAGTTCATCAAACCTTTAAAAACTCTGTCTTCAGATATTTCTTGCACCAGTCTTGAAATTTCAACTTGTGTGTTTTGTTCAGTGGTGGTTGGGTTTCAGCCTACCTTGACCATGTCTCCGAGCACTGAACACCTTGTACTTCTGGGCTCTCTAGGTAGGTAGCAGTTCTGGAATATGACAGCACTGGAGGATAATGGGTTCCTGGTGCCTTTATGGTTGATTCTTCTCAGATCAGTTATTCTCAATTCTTAAAGCAGTTATTTGCGTCTTTTTTTTCTCAACACGTTTCTTGCGACCCTGTTGATTATTTGCAACAAAACATTTGATGGTTCTGTGATCATGCCCCATTATCTTAGCAATTTCAAGAGTGCTGCACTCCTCCTAAAGACTTTTTACAATTTTTTTACTTTTCAGAGTCAAGTAAACCTCTTTTTGGTCCATTTGCCTGAGAAAAAGAAGCTGCCTAACAATTATGCACACCTTAATATAGGGTGTTAATCTCCTTAGGCCACACCCTCCCTCATTGCACAAATACACATCACTTGATATGCTTAAATCCAATAAGCATTAAAATTTACACAGATTGAAGTTGGACAATATGCATAAAAATGATGATTTGGTCAAAATACTCACTTGCCTTATAATTGTGCACACAGTGTATAGATATATAGCTATATCCAGTCCTGATTTGAATATGACAGTCCCAGAAAACGTTTGCATACAATACAATTTTTTTTACTATTTCTGGAACATAATTAGAGAAGCTGATCATATAAAATTACAAATTCGCATAAGGGGAAATTGTGCGTTGGTATGTATTCTTTTTGAGAATTTGAATAGCTGGCAATGTCACACATTGTCTGCAATCCACATAACTCCCCAGAATTCTACATAAGAATGTTCTTCTGAGTAGTATTGTACAATGCATGTTGTAACTCACTTTCTAGTAAAGCCTGAAAAAGTGTTGAAAGAGAGAGCCTGGGTAGTTTGTTCACATTTAACTTCACTTTTTTGGAATTGATTGCAATGTTCAAATTACTATTTTAGTGGTGGGAGAAAGTGTTAAACCTTTTTTTCACAAGATGGCCTGGCCTTATATGTATTACAGCAAATAATATCTATGAACTGCCTTTTCCTGTAATCATTGCTATGGACACATTTACAGATTTTAAGTTCTGTTTTGATTTGAAAGTGTCTTCTTTGGAAGCCATTAAAAAATAAATATTAGCCTAGGTTCAAATGAGACACACTTTGGAAAATCTTGGTGAAAATACTGTCAGTGTGCATCACATCTGAACAGACTAATCATTCAGTTGTTATAATTTACACAAAACTTTGCTTTAAATTGGTTCTTTAAAATGTCACTGCAGAAGCTATGAACTTTTAACATTCATTTGATGTTAGAAATAGAGGCATATTTATCATTTTGGTAAATATACACACACACCATATTGCCAAAAGTAATAAGATGCCCATTGAAATCATTAGATTCAGGTGTTCCAATCACCTCCATGGCCACAGGTGTATAAAATCAAGTGACTATGCATGCAGACTGCTTCTACAAACATTTGTGAAAGAATGGGTCACTTTCAGGAGCTCAGTGAATTCAAGCGTGGTACCGTGATAGGTTACCATCTGTGCATCTGTGAAATTTCCTTGGTACTAAATATTCCACGGTCAACTGTTAGTGATATTATAGCAAAGTGGAAGCAACTGGGAACAACAGAAACTCGACCACAAAGCGGTAGGCCATGTAAAATGACAGAATGGGGTCAGTGCACAGTGTGCAAAAGTCACCAACTGTCTGCAGAGTCAATAGCTAAAGACCTCCAAACTTTGTGTGGCCTTTGGATTAATACAACAACAGTGAGTAGACCGCTTCATGGAATGGGTTTCCATTTCCATGGCCGACCAGCTGCATACAAGCCTTACCTCACCAAGAGCAATGCAAAGCGTTGGATGCAGTGGTGTAAAGCACGCCACCACTGGACTCTAGAGCAGTGGACGTGTTCTCTGGACTTACGAATCACGCTTCTTTGTCTGGCAATCCGATGGCCGTGTCTGGGCTTGGCGGTTGCCAGGAGAATGGTACTTGCCTGTCTGCATTGTGCCAAGTGTAAAGTTTGGTGGAGGGGGGATTATGGTGTGGGGTTTTTTTTTCAGGGGTTGGGCTTGGCCTCTTAGTTCTAGTGAAAGGAATTCTTAAGGCATCAGCATACTAAGACATTTTGGACAATTTCATGCTCCCAACTTTGTGGGAACAGTTTGGGGATTGCCCCTTCCTTTTCCAACATGACTGCGCACCAGTGCATAAAGCGAGGTCCATAAAGACATGGATGAGCGAGTTTGGGGTGGAGGAACTTGACTGGCCTGTACAGAGTCCAGACCTCAACCCGATAGAACACCTTTAAGATGAATTAGAACAGAGACTGCGAGCCAGGCCTTCTCATCCAACATCAGTGCTTGACCTCACAAATGCATTTCTGGAAGAATGGTCAAACATTCCCATAGACACACTTGTGGACAGCCTTTCCAGAAGAGGGGAAGCTGTTATAGCTGCAAAGCGTGGGCCAACTCAATATTGATCCCTACGGACTATGACTAGGGTGCCATTAAGTTCATGTGCGTGGAAAGGCAGGCGTCTCAAAACTTTTGATACTATAGTGTGTGTATAAATAAATAAATATATATAGATAGATAGATAATTTAATTATCCTTTTATTGATGAAAATGAAGATTCAGGAAATAATTGGGGCATATCGTGTTATATTAGGATTGTATAATTTTGCAAGAAACATTTCACAACACACAGCAGACTTCCTGTCCACAGTAGCTCAGTGATTAGCACATCTGCCTTATTGCACTGAGGATATTCCTTGGTTTGAATCTTGACCAGGACACGAACTGCATGGAGTTTGCATATTCTTTCTATGTTTGAGCGGGTTTCCAGGAACCCTGGTTTCCCCCCATACACAAAAGACTTGTTGGTAGGTTAATTGGCTCCTGTCTAAAATTGTCCCCACTGTGTGTGTGCATTTGAGATAGGGACCTTAGAGACCATGAAGAGGGACTGGTTTGAATGAATAAAACCTGAAATGCAGAGTAAAATTGAAAGCATTGGATAAATGCCTGTAATAAATAGGCCCATGACACATCCAGTCCAGTATTAGTACAACTCTGTACAAATAATTAGTTATACCTCATCTGGAATATGCAGTTCAATTCACAAAAAGAGCATTGGGGAACTGGAGAAAGTACAGAGAAGGGCAACCAAATTGATAAGAGGCATGGAGGAGCTCAGCTATGAGGAAAGATTAGAGGAGCTGAATTTATTCTCTCTTGAGAAGAGGAGATTAAGGGGGGATATGATCAACATGTATAAATACATCAGTGGTTCATATAGTGAACTCGGTGTAGAGATGTATTCACCCTGAGGTCATCACAGAGGACACGGGGGCACTCTTTACGTCTGGAGGAAAAGAAACTTGATCTCCAAACACAGAAAGTGTTTATAGTAAGAGCTGTGAAAATGTGAAATAGAATCTCTCAAGAGTTGGTTCTGGCCAGCTCAGTGGATTGCTTTAAAAAAGGCCTGGATTCTTTCTTGGATACACACAATATAACTGGATACTAACATTTATAGGTAAAGTTGATCCAGGGAATATCCGATTGCCTCTCGGGGGATCAGGAAGGAATTTTTTTCCCCTGCAGGAGCAAATTAGATCATGCTTTGCTGGGTGTTTTTGCCTTCCTCTGGATCAACTGTGGGTATAGGATAATAATTTGTTGGAGTTTTTTTTTTTAATGGTTGAACTGGATGGACTTTAGTCGTCTTTTCAGCCAGACTAACTATGTAACCCCTGGCAAAAAGTATAGAATCACCACTCTTGGAAAATGTTCATTCAATTGTTTGTGTGGAAAAAAACTAATCACAGACATGCCTCAAATTATTTTCATTTAATATTCTAACCACCTGGCTTTAAGAAACACTTAAAATATAAAAAAAGAAGAAAACTGTTGTCATTTGCAACTGTTTTTGCAGATCAAGCAGAGGAAAAAAATATGGAATCACTCAATTCTGAGGGAAATAGTGTGGAATCATGGAAAAAAAAAAAAAACACCACAGTACACCACTAGTACTTTGTTGCATCACTTCTGGCTTTTATAACAGCTTGAGGCATGGGTTTAACTACCGACAAACCGGATTCTTCAGCAATCCGGCTCCAACTTTCTCTTACTGTAGTTGCCAGATCAGCTTTGCAGGTTGGAACCTTGTCATGGACCATTTTCTTTAATTTCCACCATAGATTTTCAATTGGATTGAGGTCTGAACTATTTGCAGGCCATGCCATTGACATTATGGTGTTTATTTACTAAAGCTGGGGAGTGCAAAATCAGGCTCACTTCTGCATAGAAAACCAATCAGCTTCCAGGTTTTATTGCCAAAGCTTAACTGAACAGCTGAGGTTAGACGCTGATTGGTTTCTATGCAGAAGTGAACCTTATGTATCTCCAACATATAAACCCCTATATGTCTTCCTTGAAGGACATTTTTCACAGCTTTTGCCCTATAACAAGATGCATTATCATCCTGTAAAATGATGTCATGATCACCAAACATCCTTTCAATTGATAGAATAAGAAAAATGTCCACAATCTCAATATACACTTGTGCATTCATTAAAGATTTAATGACTGTCATCTCCTCCGCACCTTTACCTGACATGCAACCCCATATCATCAATGATTGTGGAAATGTGCATTTTTTTCTTCAGGCAGTCGTCTTTATACATTTCATGGGAATGGCACCAAACAAAAGTTCCAGCATCATCACCCTTCCCAATGCAGATTCGTGATTCATCACTGAATATCACTTTCATCCAATCATCCACAGTCAATGATTGCTTTTCTTTAGCCCATTGTAACCTTGTTTTTTTTCTGTTTAGGTGTTAATGATGGTTTTCTTTTTTTGCTTTTCTGTATGTAAATCTAATTTCCTTTAGGCGATTTCTTACAGTTCGGTCACAGACATTGACTCCAATTTCTGCCCATTTGTTGCTCATTTGGTTTGTTGTGCATTTTCTGTTTTCAAGGCATATATGCTTTAAGCTTTCTAGCTTGACACTTTGATGTCTTCCTTGGTCTACCAGTACTCTTCCCTTTCACAACCTTCCCATTTGATTTGTACTTGGTCCAGATTTAGACACAACTAACTGGGAACAACCAACATCTTTTGCAACATTCTGTGATGATTTACCTTCTTGAAGTAGTTTTATAATCCTCTCCTTTGTTTCAACTGACATCTCCTGTGTAGTAATCTGATGCAGATATTTGTTTTAGAACTGTAAAGTACATGGTTATTCCTTAATATTTTCCGCAGATTTAAGTGATTCCATATTTTTTTCCTTTGCTTGATCTGCAAGAACAGTTGCAACTGACTACAGCTTTCTTTCTTTTTCTTTTTTTAAGTGTTTCTTAAAACCAGAAGGTTGGATGTTAAATTAAAATAGTTTTGAGGAATGTCTGTTATTGTTTTTTTTTTTCTACACAATTAAACAATTGAATGAACATTTTCCAAGAGTGGTGATTCCATACCTTTTGCCAGGGGTTGTATATAAGTGTTCATAAATGCTGAAAGTGCAGTTAAAAGTTTGTTTCTTGTATCTCTCGGAGACTCCGGTGGCAAATTTAGAAAATTGTAAAATGGCCAAGTTTGGACAAAAACCCGAGCTCATGCCTGGTTACAAGGTAAGGTGCTGCAGGATTGGCTAATCTGTGTCAGATATTTGTGAACACAGCAAAGAACTTCGCAGGCACCAAGATTTTCAATTATTTTGTTTTATCTTAACCATCAAACAGTTATGATGGGATTTTGTAGGCACACACATATAAACAAAAATGTATATTAAAAATGTAGATTTTAGTACAAATTTAGTATAAAACCATATGGATAAAAAAAAAAGGCTGACATTGTACCAACAAGCATGACCTGCCACAACATGGCCAAAAAGCCTAACCGCTCCAGATCCCATATAAGATAATGTATATAATATAGTCTAGTAACCATTCACAAGCAGTTCCATGCGAGATGACCCAATGTGTTTTAGTATGTCTTCTTCAGGGGTTGGAATAACCAAATGTCTATAATATATAATACTTAGAAAAGCCCAATGCATACAAGAACACAGATAATTACTTCCCAATACTGTATACTGTGGGTTGGAGTTGTCTCTGAACCAGCCTTTTAGCCTAGGAAGTAGACAGTGACACTGGATAATTCCTAAACAAACATCACTCTGTCCCTCTGAAAAGAAAAGCAGATAAAGGCATTATCAGCCATTTTCTAACTTATGCAAGCCATAGACTGGTCGTTTATCTGCCGAATTTTTGTCAGAACGAAAAAATCAGCCGATATTCAGACTGTTAGTGGGGCAATGACGTCGGCTGTTTTTCGCAGATCTTCTTGTTCTCTTTTTATCGGTCATCCTGGAAAATCCAGGAAAAATGGACGTTTTTTTTAAACGACCGATTTTTCGTTTATCAGCCGATAAACGGCCCATCTATGACCTGCATAAACCATATGTCAAAAATGTGTGAATGTTGGGTGATTTTTGATTGAAAACATCGATAAATAGACCCCTAAAATTACACATCTAATATGTATGCATAAAGTTTGAAGAGTTTTAATAGCCATGGTACCACATCCCAAATAATAGAATTTCAATCAACTCAAACAATAATTTGTTAACATCCTATATGTGATTTTTAGGGCATCAAATTTAAACATACAAAATTTATATAAAACATTTATCTTTATTATTATATTTGACCCTTTTTCGCACTTAATATAAAGCAATGACTTTGTATGTTTTAATTAAAATAAAAAAAACACATTATACTTACCTACATTGTGCATTGGTATTGCAAAGCATGGCACCTCATCTTCTCTGCTGGGTTCCCCTACCTGGCCGCTTGCTATGGAGGTAAACAATTTTGCTGGTTCCTGAGCCAGGCTGTGTACATCCATATACACACACAACATGGCTTGGTCCCACTCCCCATTCTCTCTTTAACCTCCCTGGCGGTATGATTATATCAGGAATTTTGTACCAAAAGCGGTACCATTTTTTTGCATGGAAATTTGGTGTTATGTATTGTAGGCCTGCAATTCTTAGTAATTACTTACTTAAAAATCCCGGGTATGATAAAATTTGAAACACGAAATCATAAATTATAATTTAATAAATAATCATAAAGAATAATAATATAATAATAATACATTTAATTCAATAATATAATCAAACCAAAAACACTGAAATTTGAAATATAGCGCCAAGTTCGCACATCAATGAGCAAAGTCGCAAAATCGTTTTCAGTGTCTGATGACGAATTTCCTCACGAATCATTATCACTCAATTCTGCAAGTGGTTCTGATTTACTATCGCTGTTCTCTAGCCGGTCTAAAACCGCTTTTTGACCTAAAGGGACGCTTTTTGGACGCCATGGACGTTTCTCAGTTTCCAGGCAGAAAGAACAGTCAAAATGCAGACAGGGGGCAGGACAAAGCACTAGGGACAAAATGTATGTGAAATGGTTTGAAACAGCAATGTTTTACTATGTAAAATTCGTTTAGAAAAAAAATGACATTTTTTAAAATTTTTCAAATTTCCACCGGTTCCGGCGCCCGTACGTCCCAACGTCACAGGGACCAGAACACAGAAGCCGGATGCCGGCATCGGCCGGAGGAGATGGCCGGGGACGCTGCAGGGGACACATCGCGGGAGCGAAGGACAAGGTAAGCTCTGCAGGGAATCCCTATGCAGCGCCGCATGGTAAGCCTGAGTGTAGCTCGGGGTTACCGCTTTTGGTACTGAAATTTTACCCCGAGCTACACTCGGGAATACCGCTAGGGAGGTTAAAGGATTTGACTGACAGCAGCAGGAGCCAATGGCTTCTGCTGTTCTTAACAATGCCTGTGAAAACAGGGAGATGGGAGATAAGACATGCAAGTGGGCACGGCTCTGGATCAATGTAAGACTCTGGTAAGTGATAGGGAGTGGGGTGGGAGGGACGCTAGTATTGGAAAGTTTTTTTTTTTTACATTAAAGAAAGGTTCTCTCATATGTGTGAAAATTAAATGTCAGCAGCTACAAAAACTGTAGCTTCTGACTTTTAATAAAACAGACACTCACCTGTCCAAGGATCCAGTGCTGTCCTCACCCGAGCCAGTTTCTTTGGTCCTCGGCACTAGCACCTCAACTGTGGCCAGCCAGCTGTGACTGCTTGTGGCTTCTCAGCTGACTGCCCACTGCGCATGTGCCAAATGTATTGTGCTATCTGAATGGCCGTGCAGTCTTCTGGAACCTGTGGTGTGTCCCAGCAGGCTGCAGACAGGGAAGACGGAGAAGAACTTCAGTTGGGATTTCCTAGGTGAACTGAGCTGAAGTGGGAGCAGGTACCTGTCAACACCCCCCCCCCAAAAAAAAAAAAAAGAAGAAGAAAGTAGAAACCAAATGTGGCAAATGAGGGGGGGAGGTAGAAGGAGGAGTGGAACTTCCTCTTTTGGGTTGAGTTCCGCTTTAATGAAGGGATACAGTAATGTAAATTTTCCTTTAAATTTTAGAACCACTTTAAATAATTATTTCTTCAAAGATGAGGTTAACATAGGCTTTTTTAGGTTTTGTATTGGGAAGAAACTTAAGGCAAACATGTATTTATTGTGGTTAGCAATCTATCAAATTCTAGGAGATATTTGCATACATTTGCACAAGCATGTAAAACTGATGCGGTATGCACCTGTGTTGGAGGCTATGACCAATAATTCTCCATGGCACTTTCTATGGACCATGTGGTTAAATTATGGACATATGTTTTTATTTTTTACACTTTGTTTCCTATGGATCTCTGTATTGGCCAGGTACTGATTGATATATATATATATATATATATATATATATATATATATATATATATATATATATATATACACACATACAGTATATAAATCCTGAATCTGAATTACATTTAAAAAATTAACTCCACTCTTTGGTGATCTGTGTATATTGCAGGGATTTTAACAACCTTTCTAGTAGATTCCTACCTTTTGTTGCTCTGAAGAATTAGCTGTTTGTTTGACCATATCCTTTGGATAACAATTCTGAATGTGAGGGTCTGGTTAATTCTACAGTGCCTTGAAAAAGTATTCATAGCCCTTGAAATTCACCACATTTTGTCATGTTACAACTAAAAAATTAAAAGTATTTTATTGTAATTTTATGTGATAGACCAACACAAAGTGGCATATAATTGCGAAGTGGAAGGAAAATGATAAATGGTTTTCAAAATTATTTACAAATAAATATCTGAAAAGTGTGGCGTGCATTTGTATTCAAAATGCACTGAGAGAATACTTTGTAGAACCACCTTTCTCTGCAATTACAGCTGCATGTCTTTTTTAGGTATGTCTCTACCAGCTTTGCACATCTAGAGAGTGAAATGTTTGCCCATTCTTCTTTGCAAAATAGTTCAAGCTCTGTCTGATTGGATGGAGAGCATCTGTGAACAGCAGATTTCAAGTCTTGCCACAGATTCTCAATTGGATTTAGGTCTGGACTTTGACTGGACCATTCTAACACATGAATATGCTTTGCTCTAAACCATTCTATTGTAGCTCTGGCTGTATGTTTAGGGTCGATGTCTTGCTGGAGTCTTTTGCAGACTCTTAACAGGTTTTCTTCTAAGATTGCCCTGTATTTGGCTCCTTCCATCTTCCCATCAACTCTGACCAGCTTCCCTGTCCCTGCAGAAAAAAAGCTTCATGGTGTGTTCAGGGTGATGTGCAGTGTTAGTTTTCCGCCACACATACCATTTTGCTTTTAGGCTAAAAAGTTCAATTTTGGTCTCATCTGACCAGAGCACCTTCTTCCACATGCTTGCTGTGTCCCCCACATGGCTTCTGGGAAACAACAAATGGGACTGCTAATGGCTTTCTTTCAAGAATGGCTTTCTTCTTGCCACTCTTCCATAAAGGCCAGTGTCAGGGCTCCCGGGTATGACCAGAGGTATGTGACTGACGCAGGGAAACGCAGACTTCAGATATGTTATAAACAATATAATTTATTAATACTAACAATACAAACATAAACGCAGTGCAATACTAAAACATAACACAGTGCAAACAAACCAAACCAACCACCCACAGATAACAGTACATACAATGCAAGCGTCGTCAGGCAGGCCGGGTCAATAACAATTGGGCAGGTAGGTACAGGGGGAGCAAGCGGAGAATGGTCGGGGTCACAAGCCAGGTTCAGCAGGTAGCGGGCAGCGTGGTACAGAGGGTCAGGCAGAGGGATGGTCAGGAACGAGCCGGGGTCAGAGCAGGAGAGGGTCAGCGTAATCAGAACAGGCAGAGTTTGGCAACAAGGAAACGTACTAGCAGGAACACAGGAACAGGAACAAGGATGCAGAATTACAAGATACAGGGCCCAGGAAAAACACACACACCAAGGCAAAGACTGCAGGTCTGGCCATCACTTAAATACACCTGCATAAGCAGTTTCAGGTGTTTGGCTGACTGCAGGGTTGAGTCTCTGATTGCTGGGAGCACCCGCTGGCCAGCCCTGGTACTGCAGCCCACAAGGCAGGTGAGTCCCACCACTACTGGCAAGTCCATTCCTAACAGCCAGATTTGTGGCGTGCATGACTAATAGTTGTCCTGTGGACAGATTCTCCCACCTGAGCTGTGGATCTCTGCAGCTCCTCCAAAGTTACCATGGGCCTTTTGGCTGCTTCTCTGACTAATGCTCTCCTTGCCTGGCCTGTAAGTTTAGGTGGATGGCCATGTCATGGTAAGTTTGCAGTTGTGCCATTTTCGGATGATGGATTGAACAGTGTTCCATGAGATGTTAAAAGCTTGGGATATTTTTTTTGTAACCTCACCCTGCTTTTAACCTCTCCACAATTTTATCCCTGACCTGTTTAGTGTGTTCCTTGGCCTTCATGATGCTGTTTGTTCTCTAATGTTCTCTAACAAACCTGAGGGCTTCATAGAACAGCTGTATTTATACTGAGATTAAATTACACACAGGTGGACTTTAGTTATGAATTCGGTAACTTCTGAAGGCAATTGGTTCCATTATTATTATTATACAGTACTTAAATAGCGCCGACAGTTTGCTCAGCGCTTTACATTATGGAGGGAGACAGTACAGTAACAATACATTTCAATACAAGAGGGATTAGAGGGCCCTGTTCCTTGGGGTTTACAATCTAGGAGGGAGGGGATAGTGGTACAAGCGGTAATTAGCTGTGGGGGATGGAGTGGTAGGAAGAGTAGAGAATTCCAGTATTAGCTGGGGTCGGGGTAGGCTTCCCTGAAGAGATGGGTTTTCAGAGTGCGCCTAAAAGTGAGCAGAGTAGGCGATAGCCTGATGGTCACAGCAATCACATGGTACCGGCAGTAGGCTGGTACATTGATCTGTCATCCACTGTGTCCAGTGGACACAATAGGGCTCCTGTCAGGTCGTCATTTTACAATGGCCCAGGCAGGAAGCAGTTAATATTGAGTTTAAATTTACAGTAATGTTTATAATCATGTTACAATTCAGTTAAGCTTACAGTTTGAGTCCAGGAATTTTTAAAAATCATGAATGGCGCTACAGCCTTTTAACATTTTTGTTAAATACCTGTTTCAACAACTACACTGGCATGGTCACTATTTCCATAGAAGTGAAAAGGAAGTAATACCATGCTTTTAGAAAGAAAAGAAAACTTACTGTATCCTAAGATAAACCCTTATATATTAACATTTCAAATGTCAAAGCCATGTTCCTTTTACTTCACATATACCAAGGTCAGTGTCTGATTGCTGAGCAAAAATTGATAAAGCTGTAGGAGCTCATTTACACCAGATGCAGTCAAATGCGTTTTTAAACACAATACTAATGAATATGCAAGAAAAATGATCTAAAATGCACAACCACCTAATGTTGAGAAGCAAAGAAAATTTTGTGATATCTCTAAGATAACCCCAGAGTAATAGGAACCAGATCTGCCTTACCGACTGCTGATAAAAATATATATATCTATATATCTTATATTGTGACACAATGAAAGGTGAGGTGGTTGAGGGACTCAGTGGGGGAGATTTACTAAAACTGGTGCACACAGAATCTGGTGCAGCTGTGCATGTTAGCCATTCAGCTTCTAAGTGTTAGCCCATGTTCACACTGGATCTGACATTGAAATCGATTTCAAAGTTGGATGTCAATGCGACATCAGGTGTGACTTCATGCACAGATGTCTATGGACGTCACACCTGAAATTGCAAAAAGTAGTGCAGGAACTATTTTCAAACTTGGTGTGACTCCAGCGAAAAATGGCTCGAGTGAGAGTGCTCTGGCCTGGGACTCAAACTACCACAGATACCTGAGAGACAGAGCTACATGTGGAAAGTGCTCTGTAAGAGAAAAAGGGCTTTCAAAATGCTGTTTAGTTAGTGCCTGGATGACCAGGGTTTATCTTGTTTTGCTTGCAACCTGTTTAAATAAAATGGACCTCAAGTCAGCATTTTAAGAAAAAACAGGACATTAAGACTGCCCTTTTCCCAAGGAAGGCAATCCCCACTTGAGCTAACCCCCATATATATATATATATATATATATATATATATATATATATTAGAGCAAGCAGTGAGCATTTATCATTGATTTACAGTAGGGGAAACTGACAGGAGTGTTTATTCTCCACCGATACATCACATAAAAAAAAAACCACTCTGGGCGTAAATTTAGCATTTTGTAAAGTTTTGATAATTGCTCACTGTTTGCTCTACTCAATGTGACTTTTGTTTTATAATGCATCCCGGCATTGCTCA